TGTATATATATATATATATATATATTAAAAAAAATTCTATATTTTCATACTTGTGTAAGCGAATCAAGAATAAATTTCAGGGTAGATTTGATAGATTTAGAATTGTATAAGAACATCAAATATTTTAAGATATTTATTTATGATTAGTCAAAAATTAGCCTAATGGTCTAACTTTTAATTGTGAAAACATATGCAGAGAACTTATATGTAAATTTGTATCAATAAAAATATATTCATTCTTAGTATCTTTTGTTCTTTTTTGAAATATAGAAACATTTTTTAAAATGTAATAAGATTTTATTATTTCTATTAAATATTATTCTAGTTTATTTTTTTTTTAAATTTATACTGGAATTCTGAGAATCGATATTACATAAATACAATACAGAGTTCGAAATAATGTTAACTTTTAGAAGAATGTAACGTTAAATATATGTTTATCTCCGTTTCCTAATTGGCATTATTATTCTGTAAGCAATTTATTACAGGGAGGCCAAAAAATAAATAAAATAAAATGCGAAGGTTCTCATTCGTCGTTTATACAGACGTTCGTGTACGAGAGAAATCATTTTATCTTGGAAACGATGTTTTAAAACCCGCTAGCACGCTATTACATATTCATATTCACTATATTAGTAACATATGCTGCACGAAAAAAAAATAAATCTACGACATATGTTGATATATATACATTACCATTTGTGGATAAGCCAAAATAAACAAAGGTTTTTTTTGTAGTTCCAAGAAAAATTTCAATCCTTCGTTTGGCAGGTCACAATGAATTTTATCTCGAATTGTGAGTTAGAAGTAAAGAAACTTGTGTAATTTTGTCGAATCGTTTTCTACCAGGAAAATGTTTAAGCTTGATTTTTACAGTTATTAAACTTATGTATCTTAATTATTTATAAATTTTATCACTACTTTTGGAAAATCTCTGTCAGCGCTGTTAATGTTCAGCAAGGACGATCCGTTTTAAACATCTGTTCTGTTGACTTACTGCGCTGACTCTTCTTTAATTTTTTTTTCCACGGTTATTTTGTGTTTAATTAATTTTTTTAAACAAAAATATTAAATGAAAATTTGCTAAATATCATTAGAATAAAATTAATTTATAAAAAAATGTAAATTATAATTACGTCTTGATCACTGTTTTTTCTTCTTCTTTTTCTTTTTTCGGTTTCCGAAATGAGATAGTGAAATTTTAAATCGTTTTTATGAAAATTACGTTACAGTTTTTAACGTATTTTTACATCCTGATTGGTTACTATATGATAATTAACTTTGGTGTAGTAATCAATTGTTAATACTATGTGATAATTAACTTTCCACCTCCTCCTCAAGTTTAAACGTTTTGATATAATAAAAACGTTTAAACTTGAGGAGGTGGAAGGTTAATTATCACAGTTATGTTAAAAGTATGGCACTTATATTAGATAAATGATAACATCTCAAATAAATCTGTTTTTTTATTATTAATTATTATAACTTACTGCATGTATATTTTATTATATTTTAAATAAATACAGGATATTTTATTTTTGAAAATTAGAATTTTATGCTGTACAAACTTGTGAAATATTTAAAAAAAAAAAAAACTACATCAAATTTATGAAATTTTTCTTTAGAAATAATCATTAATGTTATAGTTATATTGTATTAATGTATTCGTTAATTCATTATCATCATCAGCCGTCCTCTTTTGTCGAGATGGATTGAGTCCTTTAATTTTGTCTTAATGTTCTCTGGTTAGTAACTGTGTTTGTTAGAATTAGGCCCATAGTGGGAATGGTTAGGTTGCGAAAGATCGGACACAATACTTCCTGGACAAACTGGTCGTGGCAAAATTACCAGTTTTCTTGATTCAAACTTGAACCTAGGTTCTGTAGAGCCAGGCTGACACCTTTATCACTTCAATCATCCAGCTGTTGGTATCTGTAAATTACTAAACACTTAATATATTTTGAAACTAGAATTTAGAACAGATTAAAATTTATATTTGTATATAAGTGTTTATGTAATAAAATGTATCAAATTAAATTTAATGGAAGAATATTGTTATGTTTTTATTATATACTAGTTGTTATAATAGTTATAACAGTATATTTTACACATTATTAATTGTTTTGTCCTAGAAATTTGAATGTCAGTTGTGCTTAGAATAAAAATGATCTCATTTCCTTGAAAAGCAAATAAAAAATTAATCATTGATATTTTTAATTCAAGAACTTGAAAGCATTTATTCACAGTTTGAATGAATATTAATTAAATATTGAAAAGAAATGATACAAAATTTTTAAATACTAATTAATTTCTTATAATTTATTTACTACTTTTTTCTTCTTTATTAATTTAGTATGTAAATGCATTAAATTTGTAATATTAATTAAACTGTTTTAAAACAATGAAATTTTAGAAATATTTATATTGATTTAAATTAATTTTTAAAAATTTTATAAATTTTGTTTAGTAATAAAAGATGGTTTTTAGTTCTTCATGAAGCATAAGTGAAAAAATTGCTATTTTTAAGATTATCAAAGAAATATTTAATAATTGAAATGCTTTAATTAAACCATTTTCAGCAATAATTAAGTTAACAAATAGGACAGAACTTATAGAATTAAATATTAAAATTTAAGTAAATGTGTTACCTAAATACTTTGGATTTTTTAAATACAGTACAAATTTATAATTTTAAATAAACTTTATCTTAATAAAGTGAATAAAAAATGTAAGGAAATTTATCTGGTTTGGATTTTATAGATTAGAGAATTAGGGGAGAAGTTGCTATTTGGCAATAATTAAGTCAACGTTTTATCTAGAACAGTGTTTCTCAACCTCTAACAAATCGTCGCCCCCTTCAATAAAACCGTTACATAGTATCGTCTCCTTCACTACAAAATTTTGATGCCGAGGGACAAGGCTAACGCCAAATTCGTACTGCATTGAATAGACTAGTGACTAGTATAATGTCATTTGTTTAATTATTGTACAATATAACGAATAAAATATCTAATTATTCATAATGTAATGTTTTACTATATCGCCCAGAAAATTGTTTTTTGCACCCAAAATATAAATTGCTACTAATCGCCCCCTCAACATGAAAAAAGCCCACATGGTGACGATATCAACCCCGTTGAGAAACACTGATCTAGAAGAAACTGTTTTGTTCATTTGTTACATCATGATGCCAAGTTTTTTCCAACAATATAGAAGTTATGGAATAAATTAAAGTTCTACATTATAAGTACAGGGTGAAACAAAAGTCCCTTGCGCCCTTTTAATTCCAAAAGCACAAGGTCAACAAAAAAGTCCCACTAACCATTATTCACTAATTACATTAACAAAATTAAGTATGGTACTTTTAGAATGAAAAAAATGCAAGGGACTTTTAACTTATCCTATATTTAATAATTTTATTGCAAATATAATTAATGATTTTTTTTTCCTCATTGTTACTATCAAAACTAAAATTGTTCATTATTATGAACAGTTTTAGTTTTGGTCCTAGGACCCACTCTGTTTAAGCTGTAGATATTCTTAATTTTATGATCTATTTTTGAACGTATTGTGAATATATCAGATGTATTATGTAAAACAAATACAGAAATAGTTACCAGAAAAATTCCTAAAAATTTTCATGTATGATTTATATAATATATACAAGTATACTTTTTTGAGACTATAAAATTATTTTTATGTAATGAAAAATTTATTATGAACTTATCGCGAAAAATTCTACAATTTGAATAACAACAGAAAAAAGAAAACTACTTCATTTTTTTCTATTTGAAATTTAGAGTCTTTTGAAGTAAAATAATTTCAAAGACTAAAATAAATAAAAACACATTTAATCAATTTATCGTCAACATCAACAATCTTGATTTCAGCATCGTTTGGTGTCTGATTTCATCTCCTTCCATCTCTCTCAGTTCTTATCATTTGCTTCTATATCATTTAGCCACAATTTTATGAAGTCTGTTTTTCTGTTTATATCATTTATAATGCTATTGAGGACTTATTTAACTGAAGAAGTCTTAAATAATAAATTTAATATTATTTCTTGATTCCTAGTAATTAAATAATAATAGTAATAATAATGTTAAGTTCAATTGCAGTTCAGTTCAAATAAATATTGTGAGATATAAATTTTTTTATGTTTAACTCTGTGCCATACTACTATTATACTGCTTTAAAAAATTTTTATTTCTTATAATAATAATAATTTGTAAAATATCAAAATAACAATAGAATTATCAAGTGCTTACTAACAGATAATAACTTACAATTCTAGCACACTTTTGTTTGCAATTGATTATCTAATTATTCATAATAACAAAAAGCCTTCATACTCAAACCATAATTTAATTTAATCTATGGATATAGGAAGTAATATATTAATTGCTAAGATGTGAAAATACTTTTTAAATGCCCGGAGATATCTTTTCAATTAATTTTGGATTTTTAATTTTGCATTTATTTATTTAGTTGTAGTTAAATTTAACATTTATGTTAACAATTAAATATTTATCTTTGTTCTATCACTTGTTTTTATTCTGTGGTTTTTGTGTTTTAAATTTTTTATATTAGAGAACCTGAAAAAGTTATTTAAAATGGATAAAAATGCTTTTATTACAAATTATTACTGACCTACAAAGGTTTATTTTTTGTTAGTTTGAATCAACTATTCAATTATATGGTCATGTAAGTTTATCTTTCTTGAATACAGAAAAGTATCATTTTAAATTATGAAAAAGTTTGATTACAACTTACAAATAAATACTTTATTCATACCTTAGTTTATTTTTTATTATATTATATCCTTAGTAGAATTCTTATTTAGATTAATATAAGCTAATTAATTAATTGTATTATTGGCTAATCATATTGTATTATTTATATGCTTTATCTAATTATGAAATTCTTAGATTAAATTAATTAATGAATAGTTTTCATTCATGGCTTTAATGTGAAAAATTTGTTTTTGATTTTGTTTTTAGGTAGACATTGTTCGAACAATAATTAGGAAAGAATTAGAATTACCTGTTGTTGAAATAGCTGATGCTAAAGCAACAATAGAAGGTGGTGATGTTTTATTTACTGGTAAGATAATATAAGCAACATTTATTGTCATCTAGTTAATTACATAATTATCTGTTTTTAATAATTCAAGAACCTTATAAAAAATTTATATTCACATAAACAAACATATTATATATTTATTTATTTTGTGTATTTTGCATGAATATAGTTGAAATTTTTATTAAATCGGGGATTCCTGATCTTCTTTTCACTCAATGCTAAAAAAATGCTTTGATGGAGTAGGAATTGCATAAGGAACATTCAAGCACTTTCAAGTATTAATTACTCATTCTTAAAAACTATATTCTTAAAACAGAACAGATTCAAAATTGCTGCTATAGTATTATAAAGCAATATTTATAATGATCTAATTGTAAGTCCTTATAACTCTTACTCCATTTAAAACATTTTTTTATTATATTTATTTTTCGGAGAGTTTTAACTTTATGGTTTTTTTACTCATTTATTCCTTTCCAAAATTAGATTTCGTTAATCTAGCCTATCCATATCTCTGTACAATACAAGAATACATTACAAATAGGATAAATAGGAATGGGAATTAATATACTCTTTTTATTAAACATGAATCAAAATTCAAAACTATGATATTGTAATTTGAAGAACAATTACTTTACTTTATACATTATTATTTTTGTTATATTTTTAAAAATAATAGAAATAAATTTGTTTATCACCTCTTTAGNACAAAATATCATATTCCATCCATTATTACAGAGAAAATTAACATATACATAAATCAAAACAAAAATTATACAAGTATTATTATAAACATCAAAAATAAATATCTGAAAAATAAATATCTGAATGCCCACTATCCAAATATAAACATATAACATAATAACAAAAAATCATCATGGGGAGAACTATCCAACCAAAAACATCATTAAATAAAGAAAAAAAACATTAATTACACCCANATGTTGAGGGGGCGATTAGTAACAATTTATATTTTGGGGGGCAAAAAACAATTTTCTGGGCGATATAGTAAAACATTATATTAAGAATAATTAGATATTTTATTCGTTATATCGTACAATAATTAAACAAATAACATTATACTAGTCACTAGTCTATTCAATGCAGTACGAATTTGGCGTTAGCCTTGGCCCTCGACATCGGAATTTTGAAGTGAAGGGGGCGATACTACGTAATGGTTTTATTGAAGGGGGCGATACTACGTTGAAGGGGGTGACGATTCGTTAGAGGTTGAGAAACACTGCTTTAGATCATTCATCACACCAACTGGGGACATCTAATATCCATGACTTTTCAAATCACTTTGACCATTCAATTAATATCATTATTATGATAATTAATTATAAACTAGTAGTTGAGATCCTTAACGTCTTTATGATTATTCTATTGTATAATGAATTTCGAACAATAGACTACTGATAATAACCTTAAATTATATTTTTTGTATAAATTTTCATAAATATGGTGCATTCTCACTAATCCAAACTAATTATTTGTCTCCACACACCGGGATATGATAAAAAATAATCCTTACTTTTAACCTTGTAATCAGAGTGGTTGTGTTATATGTTAGCAAACGTTTTCGAGGCCCCTTCTGGGCTCATCTTCAGGCTTTTCTATAAATAATAAGCCTGATGTTGAGATTAGAATATTTTCTTTTGAGCAGTTTATCATTTGAATCGTCGCACGCGCAAACCTTCCAGCCAATTTAAAAATGAAATGAGCAATGTTTTGTGTAATCCAAACTAATCATTATATGATGTTCAGATTAGTGAAAAGTTTAGGTTTAGTGGCATTGTATATAAAGAAAAGAAAGTCACTCCAAAACTAATAAAAATACAATTTATGTTCATTTTTGTTGCAACTAGTAGGAATGGTTTTCACTTTTTAATCTGTTGTTTCATTAAAAATTAAAATATATAAAAACATGAAAAAGTTAGTGAAAATTTCTTAATAAATTTAATTTAGCTATTAAATACAAAGTATTGCATATTTCACTCACATTAATTTGTTATAATTAAACACAGCTGAATAAAATTTATCATTAATTTTGTTGCTATAGTTTAAAAAAATAAGCAGTATTAGTTTCGATTAGCAATTGCACTGTACAAGAATTTAATTTATTTTAAAATTCAATAAGACAGGTAAAAAAATTCTATTGTATATAATCTGTAAATCAAATTAAAATCAAAATAAAAAATCAAATGAAAAAATGAAAGCTTTCATTAAATTTACAATTTATATGAATTTATTTCATTGTATAAATTTGAGTTTATCGCATTTATATTATATTGTTAAGCTGAACAAACTTATTTAAAAGTTAATGATAGAAATAAATATCATTGACAGTAATCTATTTACATTTTAAAATTAACAACAATAAATTTCAATAATAAAACCAATTCATTCACATAAATTTAGTTTTTTTATTTTATTTTACAATTTAAAAGTTGTTTTAATGCTTAATTCTTAAAATAAGATTAAAAAATAAAAGAATTAAAGAGAAATTTAAATATATTCAATATTTTCTTTACATCTTTGTCAGTCAATCTCTGCTATTTTCATATGTGAGAATCTGGAGTTGGTAGATTATATTATTAACAAATTTATTTAAAATAATTGTTCGAAATTTTGTCATAAAATCTAGAAAAGCTGAAAAAGAAACTTCCTTTTTGGCTTGAGAAAAGCCAGTCAGTTCCTCCCAAAAGGATAGCTAGAGTGTGATGTTTCACTCTCTGTCCACAAGATTGCACAACTTCTGTCACATGTCGGAACCTTGGAGAGCTGTTTCCAATCTTTCTATTGGATGGAATTCAATATAAAAGGTGAGAGGTCACCTTTGAATGTGCTCTCGCCAAGGCTCTTGCCAATGCTCTTGTTCCTGCTAAGATGCTGTTGCCTTTGCTGAATGCTTTAGTCCCTTTCCCAGTTCTCTACCTTTGCTTGTTCTCAAGGACTCTCAACTCTCTACAATGAACAAATATAATAGGTAATATAATTATATTATGTAAACTGTCTCTCGTCAGGGTAGATTTAGTGGACTAGGATTTGAAGTCCTCTCCTTTGTATTAATATCAATACTAAACATTTTTGTTTTATTCTTATTATAGTTTTGAATCTCCATTTAATATGTATATATGATAGATATAGTTTTTGATTAAATAAATATATAGATATATTCCTAATTGTTCTTCTATTTGATTTATGCCTAACTCTATTGTCGACCCACATAACTCAAAGCAGTCTTGGCACATCCTGCATACTCATCCAACCTGGCACCATATGATTACTTCCTTTTTGGCTGTATAAAAACAACTTCATGGATGGCAGTGGGTCAAGTTGTTGTCTTCATCTGCAGAAATAATCACTGCATTGCAGACTATATATGCAAATCCAGAAAATGCTTTTCAGGAGTTTTTTCAGCAGTTATATTGATGTTGGCAGTGCAGTGCATTGTGACCAAGAGAAAATGAATGTGTGTAATAATTTGCTTAATAAATGTATTTTTTCGTAATCTGCTTAGTTCTCAAACTTTTTGACTAATATTATAACTTTTAAAGGTCTTTGACAAATATATAATGTGTCGTATTATTTACAGATTTTATACAAAACATTTAAACACTAGTCACAAAAAGCTACAAAACATCATTCAAGTATCAGTGTAAGGAGCAAAAGGTACTTTTTCGCAGACAAATATCAATGTTATATTATGATAATTAATTATAAACTAGTAGTTGAGATCCTTAACGTCTTTATGATTATTCTATTGTATAATGAATTTCGAACAATAGACTACTGATAATAACCTTAAATTATATTTTTTGTATAAATTTTCATAAATATGGTGCATTCTCACTAATCCAAACTAATTATTTGTCTCCACACACCGGGATATGATAAAAAATAATCCTTACTTTTAACCTTGTAATCAGAGTGGTTGTGTTATATGTTAGCAAACGTTTTCGAGGCCCCTTCTGGGCTCATCTTCAGGCTTTTCTATAAATAATAAGCCTGATGTTGAGATTAGAATATTTTCTTTTGAGCAGTTTATCATTTGAATCGTCGCACGCGCAAACCTTCCAGCCAATTTAAAAATGAAATGAGCAATGTTTTGTGTAATCCAAACTAATCATTATATGATGTTCAGATTAGTGAAAAGTTTAGGTTTAGTGGCATTGTATATAAAGAAAAGAAAGTCACTCCAAAACTAATAAAAATACAATTTATGTTCATTTTTGTTGCAACTAGTAGGAATGGTTTTCACTTTTTAATCTGTTGTTTCATTAAAAATTAAAATATATAAAAACATGAAAAAGTTAGTGAAAATTTCTTAATAAATTTAATTTAGCTATTAAATACAAAGTATTGCATATTTCACTCACATTAATTTGTTATAATTAAACACAGCTGAATAAAATTTATCATTAATTTTGTTGCTATAGTTTAAAAAAATAAGCAGTATTAGTTTCGATTAGCAATTGCACTGTACAAGAATTTAATTTATTTTAAAATTCAATAAGACAGGTAAAAAAATTCTATTGTATATAATCTGTAAATCAAATTAAAATCAAAATAAAAAATCAAATGAAAAAATGAAAGCTTTCATTAAATTTACAATTTATATGAATTTATTTCATTGTATAAATTTGAGTTTATCGCATTTATATTATATTGTTAAGCTGAACAAACTTATTTAAAAGNTAGCTTTTACTTTTTTTTTTTTTTAATCAATGAGAGGTTTTATTTGTTTAGTTTAAAAGGAATAAATACACACTCAAACATAACAGTTTATTTTGATTTAAAAAGCTTTTTTGTTTTAAATTCTACTTATCCTATGACACTATTAAGTTGGCTTTGTATAAAAAAGAAAAAAAAAACATTCAGTTATCAATATGATTGTATGGAAACACATTTATAGATCAAGTTGTTTCTAATAAGAGGATTTGTAAAACCAATATTTGTTGGTTTCAATTTTTTTATTATTTTTAAATTAAATAGATAAAAAGAGCAATGTTTTTGTTGGT